TTCGGGTGTCTTCCATCCAGAGCTCTAGGAGGGCTGCATGAGGTTCTTCTGTTTCCGTGGGTGCTGCAGTCAGTTAAGAGCTAATTAAGTGCGGGGGGGGTCGGGGGGGGAACCCGCCCACCAACATTAGAACATGTGGCTTCAGCAGCCGGGGTGCACACAGTGGAAAATCCCCCACAGCCCCAGCGCCCAGCCTGGAGTGCCTGCCTCATGCTCCGAGTTTCTCCCCAGTGCCCCGAGAGCCGTTGTGGGGCGTCCCCCGCAGGACTCCCCGAATGGCCTGGGACACTGGTCCGGCACCCTGGGCACGTCCTGGCGGCTCCCGGATTGGGAATCCAGGGATGATCCTGGTCGGGCATCTCTGTGGGTGAGGAAGGACAGCCCTGCAGCCCTGAGGGAGGCCCGCTCTGCCCGACCACCTGCCAGGGTGACACACTGTCCCCATGTTCAGATCCTCCCTGGGGCCCCTCCCACGCTGGTTTTCCTGCACCAGCACGAGGGGCAGTGCCTGGCCCAGCCTTGGGGACCTGTGGCTCCGAAGGGCTTTCTGGACAGGAAAGTCGTGAGGGACCCATGAGGGGCACTCGGGTAAAGACGGGAAAGGTGCTCCTGGGGGAGGGCACAGCATGAATTAATAAAGGTACCGGAGAGGCAGATTGAAGCGATGAGCGTGTGGGGGCGTTGAAGCTGACAGCCTGTGAGCCCACGGCAGTGCAGGCTTGTCCTGGGGCCCAGGGGCCTTGCCCCAGGTCAGCTTTGCCGCCCCAAAGCCTCCTGCTGGCCCCAGGTATACAGGCGGGAGGCATCAGAGATGCGTGGCCCCCGGCTCAGCCACTGGGCTGGTCCCTCCCCAGTGACTACCCACCCCCCACTCACCCCACGCCCCAGCCAACTAGGGCCTGGCCCAGGGAGGGGCAGGCTTGGGGTGTTGGTGGAATATGTCAAAAATAGCCCAGTCTGGCGCACCTGAGGTTTAACTATCCCCCCACCCCAACACAGACCGTGGCTTGAATGTCCCTCCAGAGACCTTCCCAGTCCTGAAAGCCCCCCTCTAGAGGAGACTCCTCAGGGTCAGGGTGGCCTGCAGGATGGCGCCCAGCCCAGGCTCGGGCAGGCTTCATAGCCCCCTGCGGGGCTCCAGGTTTCCCGCCAGCCTGGCCACAGAGCCTCGGTGTGCGTCCAGCTTCCTCTCTCTCCATCACGGCCAGGCAGCTCAGACCACACCGTGTGCTCAGCCAGGAGAGCAGGATGCCCTTAAACGGGGCTTTCTGGTCCAGCATTCCCCCTCTGCCCTGCATGGTGATCCTTATCCTGACACTAATAGTCCCACCGGACCCCCAGGCTTTCACTGGGAGCAGCTACAGATCCTCTTGGCAAGAAAGAAGCACATTTTTGGTCCCCAGGGCTCTCTTCTGGCCCCGCGCTGGCGGTCAGCTCTGCTTCCCAGGCAGACCTCAGAGCGTAGCACCGCACCCCCGGCCCCAGCCCAGCCAGGAAAGGATGTGCAGCCTCCTTATGGCCGCTGGGAGGTAGGGTCAGGGTCACGCAGCGAATGGAGCCACAGTGCCCGCTGGGGTCCCTCTCAGGCAAACCAGACGCTTCCACCCCCCAAACCCCTCACCCTGCTTCTCCACCCCACCAACATGTGATGCTCTCAACAGCCCAGCTGGTCAAACAGGAAGATGACTCTTAGGAATGGGGGAGGCAGCTTGAGGCCCCCTGGATACGCGTGGCAGACCCAGAGCAGGGACACAGGGTCCTCAGGGTGGGAGATCCTCACCTGGGTCCCTCCCTCCCCTACTCCTCAGCTCTGAGCATCTGGACATCTACTATCCTGGGACTCACCCTCTCCCATCCCTGAGCCCCCCTCCCATGTCTACATAGCACCCCGCAGATGCCCCCTGGCGCGCAGGGGAGGCTGCCCATCCCTGCCCACAGAGAGCCACAGGCTGACATGTGGCCAGATGCCTGTGTGGTCCCACATGGGGCCATGGGGCCCCCCTGCCGTGGGGCAGGGCACAGGGGAATCTTCAGCCTGGCCACCTCCCTCCTCTCCCTTGTGTGTGGGGGGGTCCGCCTGGATGGGGGTGGCTGGCGGCGGCAGGAATGCAGTGATCAGCTTGGCCACGGCTGCCCAACCAGACTCAAGACGGACCTGCAGGCGCGTGTGTTTTGATCCGAGGCTGCACTGGAATATTTGAGTCCTGCCGACGGATGTGATATAAAAACAGCCGGCTGCCAGGACCGCTTCCTCGCCAGCAAGTGCCGCGGCAACGTGTTCTCTCCCGCCCCTCAGCCCCCACCCCCGGAGCCGGGGGCCGAACTTAGAGAGTGGAGCTGCTTTTCTCAAGTATTGATTCTGCCGGCTCCGAGTAATTTTTTTTTAAATTCCATACTGAGCGGTAATGGATTGTTTGGATTATTCCTTTTTCCCCTTTCCTACAAGCTCAGCAATTGAATTAAAATTCAAGAACTAATTTAAACAAATGTATGTCTCTGTATGTCTCCTAAGAACCGCCAGCGCTGGGCTGGGGCTGGGTACAGCTTTTGGGCCAGTCCCCCCACTCAGGGCCTGGCGCTCCTTGATCTTTTTGCGGATGCTTTTTTATTCTGTCTGAGATCTCCCGAGAGCTCAAGGGGAAGCGTTGGACAGAAAGGAGGCCATGTGACATGCTTCTCCAGCGGCAAGGCCCACGGAACACCCGTGGTCAGAGGACGCCGGAGCCGGGTGCTCAGGCCTGGGCTCTGGAGCTGCACATTTCTGGTTCCTGGCGTGCCCCGCCCCCTCACACCTGTGGGTCCCAGGGCTCAGTGCCCTCAGCCGCAGAACGGGGTCGACAATGAGCCTGGCCCCCTGGAGTAGACGTGGAGATGCCCGTACAAGAGGAGGTCCACTGTGTGAAGGAACAGGGCACAGCGACCTGACCAGAGGTCTGGGCCCCCACTCCCCGTGGTACTGAGCTGCCCCCCGAAGATGGTTTCTGGGCCGTGTCGAGAGCGGCTGGTGCTCACGGGCACCCTCAGGGAGCGAGCAGCCTCCCCGCTGCACTGCGCCGATGAAGACCGAGATTCCGAGCGAGCCGGCTGGCCCGTGTCCCTGCAGCAGGCCCGGGTGAGAAGCCAGGTTCCGGCTCTGTTTATCCAGCTGAAAAGGTGGCAATCACCATCAAGTGGTGAGCATCTGCTCGCTGAATGGGGTATTAAGCACCAGGCACCGGCGGACCCAGCGACAGCCCTGGGAGGTGCAATTCTCGCAACTAGGGAGCAAGCGGAGCAGGCTGCGCTGACATTCTTCCGTGCGCCGCGTGCCACGCTGCGTGCTCCTGTGGTAGACTTGGAGCGCATCCCCCAGAAGCTCTGTGTGGGGGTGTCGTTACCCCACTGCACCGAGGGGGCCCTGCAGCTCAGTGGGAACACCAGTGCCAACCATGCCGTTTCCAAGGGAAGGTCCCCTCTCTCAGAGGCCCCCCGATTCAGCTGGCAGGCGGAAGCACAGATCGGCTGGCCCAGCGGGGCCTGAGTTTCCAACAACACCCCCCCAACACACACACTTCACAGAAGGGGTGCTGAAGCTCCGGGAGGGCAGGGGTTTGTCCGAGCTAGCTCAGCAATCCTGCAACAGAGCTGGGCCTCTGACATGGACACCCTGTCGGGCCCTTGCCCGGGGCTGGGTCAGGGATGCCCCACTCAGCCTTGACCAGCCACACCCCCCCCCACCACCACGCTCTCCATCTCAGCTTCCCCACATGCCCCTGAGCCTAAACGCAGCAGGTGTGAGTGCTCTCACATGAGTGAGTGTGGGCATGGTCCTGGGGAGTTCTTCCAGGCGGGGTGTCCTGAGTACCTATAACTTGGGGTGATGGTGGGGCTGCTGCAGAGGAGGGTTCTCCAAGGGTCGGTCCCCACAAATGAGACCAGGGAAGGGGCCCACCCTGGCTTCTGATTCAGGGGACAGGGACTTGGGAGTGAAAGGCAGGACCAGGGGCTGAGCCATCCTGGGGACACACCCATGGCCACCCCAGGTCAAGGACAGATGGGTGGTGAGCCAAGAGAGAGCTCGGCTGGGCAGGCAGGCTAGCCAGGGAAGGGTACATACCGAAGGCCAAGGGGAGCCCGAGAGGGAGTGACAGGAGGATAGGACAGTCACAGCACGGGTCTGCAGAATGAGCCCCCACCAGCCAGGACTCTCCAGGCTCTGTGATGGGGGCTGGAAGAGTCTGGGGGGAGGACCGCTCTACTTAATGCTGGCTTCTTCTAGCCACCCCTCCTCAAGCCTCACTGTGGAGTGAGTACAGACACCCTGGGGTGTGGGGGAGGGCTGAGCAAGGGGGCAAGGCTTGGCTGCATGGGTGGGGGAGAGGTTAGGGAGGACAGGCGGGGCCCAGCCCCCTCCCCAGCCAATGCAGGTGGTCCCGTTGCTTTTGAGCCTCAATGTTCAAAAACAGTAAGAAATTGGTAAAGGTCTCTGGCATGGAATAAGGACCTGGGGACTTGTCTTGACCTGCACCCCACCCCATCTGTGGGTGAGGCCCCCTTCTGGGCAGCTCTCCCCCACCCTACCTACTCCAAAGTGGCAAGCCCCCACAAAGTGTTCAGAGGTGGGGGGACTGACAGACCCAAAGCAGGCAGAATTGGAGCCTTGGATCACGAGAGCCCTGCCTCCCTCCACTGGGGAGGGGATCCCAGGCCAGGAACTAGATGGGGGGCAGGGATGGGAATGAAGGAGGGCAGACCCCTAGGATCTAAACGGGGACCTAATTTGGGGGGTTCTTGGTTTCTTTTGCCTCTCAGCCAATTAATTACAGCCCAAGAATTTTACCTTTCGTATCAAAAAAAAAAAAAAAAGACCCCCCTCCTTCTCCTGCAAGAGGGGATGTTGGAATCTGGAGACCTGGAGTGTCCTCCTTCCACCCCTGGGGGGAGGTTAGACAGGGTAAGGTCTGGAAGGTACCCCCCCACACCCCCGCTGACGGCTTAAGGACTGACAGCTGCACCCAACATTTAGATTACAAAGGTTTATTTAGAAAATAGTTTGGTTGTTTTGGCTGTCATTTTTGGCAAACATTTAAATACTTTCAATAACCAAAGATTGTCAGTGCCTCTTTCCTCCCCCAAGACAGTCGCCCCCACTAGGTCCTGGGGAAGTCAGCCCTTGCTCAGAGGTGGATCTGGGTAGTGGTGGGTGTTGGGGGGGCTCCTTTCTCGCCTGTTTGGGAGGTTGCTTTCACTTCTGCTGTCTAAGACCCTGACCTCACAGCCGCACCTCTGCAGGGATCCCCAGAGCCGGATCCGGGCCCGAAGGCCCAGAAGCAGCCCTTTGCTGAGATGGGAAGGCAGAGGGGTCGCCCCTCTCTCCTCCCCCCCTCCCCGGGGGCCCTGCTGTCTCTCAGCCCACACTCCTGCCCTGCCGTACCCTCCCCTCCGCCCTGGAGGCCAAGCCATCCCTGGGTCTCTGGGGAAGCTGCCCCCGCTTTCTCCCGGGGAGGGGGGGGGGCCCAAGCCTTCCCACGTCGCCGCCTGGAGCTGTCCAGGGTCTGCGCGGGGCCGGGCGTTCAGCTCACTGCCTGAAGCCCCTTCTCCTCCGTCGGAAGAGGATGTGCTTAAAGGAACGCCGGAAGTCCTGGTTAAAGACGGTGTAGATGACCGGGTTGAGCGAGCTGTTGCAGTAGCCGATCCAGAAAAAGAACTTGAAGAGCGGGTCGGGCACCTGGCAGGCCTCGCGGCAGATGCCGTACAGGCTGTAGCTGAAGAAGAAGGGGAACCAGCAGAGCACGAACACGCCCATGACCACCGCCAGCACGAAGGTGAAGCGCTTCTCGCGCGCCTGGGCCACCTTGCGGCGGCACACGCTGCTGCGCGCCCGGCGGCGGCGCGACAAAAAGAACTCGACGGAGCGCGAGCTGGCGCGCGACAGGCGGCCGCCGGGACCCGGGGACCTCGCGGCAGCCAGAGCGCCCGAATCGGT